CGAGTGCACGGAGGAGCAGATTGACGCGGTGGCGTTGTTCGCGCTGTCCCTGCAGAAACGCTTTGACGGCAGACCAGACAAGACAACGCATCTGCTCCCCGTAGTATCCGCGACAGGCAACCACAGAGCGATTTGGCTCGGGGGAGGCGGTGTCGGCAAGACACGCACCCTCTCCAAAGTGGTGGAGCCGATGGCCATCACTTACTTCGGCGAGCAGGGGTACCTCGGCAAAGCTCAGTCCAACCACGCGGCACACAACCTCGGCCCGCGCGGCAGGACAATGCATTCCTCCAATGGGCTGCTCATGTCGGACTCCCTGCAGACCGCCAGGCTGCGCTTGACGCCACAGACGCAGAAAAAGCTGGACCGCCTCACAGGCACACTCGGCGTCGACGTGATCGATGAGCTGGGTGCTGTGCCGGGGCCTTTGCTGCATGCCGATGCACTGCGCACGACCTACGGCAGGGCGTTGCGCTACAACCTTGACCCCACGAAGTACATGCGCCCGCAGGAGACGCGGGGGCGCATGGCCGTGAAGATCTTGTGCGGGGACTTCTACCAGTTGCCGCCGGTCCCCGCCAGCGCCTCCCTGCTGGCGCCTCACACGGGCCAGTCCTACGAACACCAACAGGGTAGGAAGTTGCTCGCCGACTTCGAGTACGTCATCGATTTCGTGCAGATGCAGCACTTTACAGACCCGTTGCAACTCGAGGTTCTCCACGCCATGAAAACTCCAGGCGGAAAAAAGATCCCTGACGAGAGCTGGCAGGCGATCGTCAAAACAGAGGTCGTTAGCCCTAGCGGTGCTGGTCAGCCTGCTGCCAGCAGCAGCGGAACCGCTCAGCCACCTCAATGGGACCCTCGGTTGCGTGCAGCACGAGGCTGGTACGAGTCCGCCTATGAGTGGCGCATCGTCTCTTACGCCATGCATGCACAGGCCAAGCTTGATGCGCACGATGCTGGCCAGCTGCTCTTTTACGCCCCAGCAATCGACAGACCAGCCGCGCGCCTCGCGAAGCCTGATTTCGACGAGATGCGCGCGGAGCCCAACATCGGCGCTACCGCAAAAATGCCGGGGCTGCTGCCGCTCATCGTTGGCATGGAGGTCATCCTGACAGAATCCGTCTTGCCACCGAAGTATGTCCGTGGCGCGCCAGGCAAAGTGGTAGGCATAGAGCTGCACGCTCTGGAACCTCCGGTGGAGGGCCGCCCGTCCATTGTCTCGGACGGTGTGGTCGTACTCTACTACATGCCAAAGGCCGTCTATGTCAAGATCGATGACAGCGATGAACTTTTCTTGAAGGCCGCGCCGGTGACAGCTGGCAGTGCTTCTCAGCCTGCCGGCCCCGACCTGCGCGGAGTGCTCGCGATCACCCCGCAGGCGCGCCCCTGGAAGTTCAAAGCGAAGACAGGTGGCCCGGCCATCGCGGTGTCCAGGACGCAGTTGACCGTGCTGCCCAAGAAGCAGGGGACTCTGCATGGCGTCCAGGGCAAGACGACGGACCCAGGCTTCATCGTGCACTGGACGTTTCCGCCAGGACTCAAGAAGGAGTCCATTTGGCTTGCCTACTACGTCAGCCTGTCGCGCCCCAGAAGCTTCAACCAACTCTTGAGCCACGGCTTGCCTGACCGGAGCATCATCGAATCCGGCCCCCCGGAACAGATCGCCAAGGCCTTCGCCGAGCTCTTCACGGACAAGATTGCCGCGACGAAGATCGCTTGCGCGAAGGCCCGACAGCAACTGGGATGGCCTGCGCGAGCTTGAGGAGCCATGAGATGCAGGTTGCGTTGTGGCGGTGCTGTTCAGTCTGTCCGTCTGCATTCGCGTGGTGCTTCTCAGCCTGCATGCGCGTGGTGCTTCTCAGCCTGCGCTCGTGTGCAGCTGTGCGCGGTGAGCCTGCACGTGTCGTGCAATGCTTTTCAGCCTGCGCGTGTCTGCAATGCTTTTCAGCCTGCACGCTTTGCAGCTTCTCCGCTTCGCACGCCGCTCCTCAGCGCGGTCCTCTGAAAAAAAGGACAGTCATCATCTCATCGTCGCACTCATCATCGCACTCATCATCATCATTCATTGCCAGCGTTGATAGCAGTGTCTCGTTTTTACCTAACAGCTTGTTCTGATAGGTTTCTAGTGGTGTCAAAAGAGAGCAGCAGATGACTCCACAAGGGGGTCTGGGCGGGTGCCGGACAGGGTGCCGCAGAAGTCGTTTTAAGCCAACGGTCACACACTTCGTGCTCCTCGACCTCCCAGAACTCCATTCCCGGGCCACATTCTGAATGCCCGGAACCAACTGTAGGTCACTTCGTGCTCTTCGACTTCCCAGAACTCCATTCCCGGGCCACATTTTGAATGCCCGGAGCCAACTGTAGGCCACTTCGTGGTCTTCGAGTCCCCAGAATTGCATTCCCGGGCCACATTTTGAATGCCCGGAGCCAACTGTAGGCCACTTCGTGCTTTTCGATTTCCCAGAACTCCATTCCCGGGCCACATTTTGAATGCCCGGAACCAACTCTAGGCCACTTCGTGTTCTTCTAGTTCCCAGAATTCCATTCCTGGGCATGATTTTGAATGCCCGGAGCCAACTGTAGGCCACTTCGTGTTCTTCTAGTTCCCAGAATTCCATTCCTGGGCCACATTTTGAATGCTGAGGCAGGCTGATGCTGCGGCCGAGGCAGGCTGAGGCTGAGGCAGGCTGAGGCTGAGGCCGAGGCTGAAGGCAGACTGAGGCTGAGGCTGAAGCAGACTGAGGCTGAGGCTGAGGCAGGCTGAGGCTGAGGCTGAAGCAGGCTGATGCTGAGGCAGGCTGAGGCTGAGGCTGAGGCTGATGCAGGCTGAGGCTGAGGCAGGCTGAGGCTGAGGCCGAGGCTGAAGGCAGACTGAGGCTGAGGCTGAAGCAGGCTGAGGCTGAGGCTGAGGCAGGCTGAGGCTGAGGCAGGCTGAGGCTGAGGCTGAGGCAGGCTGAGGCTGAGGCTGTGACTGCGACTGCCGTTGCCGCTGCGACTGTCATCGCGAATGCGACTACGACTGCGAGAACAGCAGAATTCTACAACTGGATTTTCATCTGAATCTTAAGGGGAATGCTTTCAGATATGCTTCTACACATCGCTGTTAGGTTGCTTTGCCGGGATAATATATTTCTATCCGTCCTCACGCTCGCCTGAACTTTTTTTATCCCTGGGGTTGATTATCCATGGAAAATGAAGCACATGAGCTACCCTACACGAGCACTTAAAACAAACAATTTTCATAAAGCGTCTGTAAATTAAAATTGATAGATTTGGAACTTTGGATTTTTACCGAACAGCTTGTTCTGATAGGTTTCTAGTGGGGTCAAAAGAGAGCAGCAAATGACTCCACAGGGGGGTCTGGGCGGGTGCCGGACAGGGTGCCGCAGAAGTCGTTTTAAGCCAACAGTCACACACTTCGTGCTCTTCGACCTCCCAGAACTCCATTCCCGGGCCACATTCTGAATGCCCGGAGCCAACTGTAGGCCACTTCGTGCTCTTCGACTTCCCAGAACTCCATTCCCGGGCCACATTTTGAATGCCCGGAGCCAACTGTAGGCCACTTCGTGGTCTTCGAGTCCCAGAACTCCATTCCCGGGCCACATTTTGAATGCCCGGAGCCAACTGTAGGCCACTTCGTGCTCTTCGAGTTCCCAGAACTCCATTCCCGGGCCACATTTTGGATGCCCGGGGCCAACTGTAGGCCACTTCGTGCTCTTCGAGTCCCAGAACTCCATTCTCGGGCCACATTTTGGATGCCCGGAGCCAACTGTAGGCCACTTCGTGGTCTTCGAGTTCCCAGAACTCCATTCCTGGGCATGATTTTGAATACCCGGAGCCAACTGTAGGCCACTTCGTGTTCTTCCAGTTCCCAGAACTCCATTCCCGGGCCACACTTTGAATGCTGAGGCAGGCTGATGCTGAGGCTGAGGCAGGCTGAGGATGAGGCAGGCTGAGGCTGAGGCCGAGGCTGAAGGCAGACTGAGGCTGAGGCTGAAGCAGGCTGAGGCTGAGGCTGAGGCAGGCTGAGGCTGAGGCTGAGGCAGGCTGATGCTGAGGCAGGCTGAGGCTGAGGCTGAGGCTGATGCAGGCTGAGGCTGAGGCAGGCTGAGGCTGAGGCCGAGGCTGAAGGCAGACTGAAGCTGAGGCTGAAGCAGGCTGAGGCTGAGGCTGAGGCTGAGGCTGAGGCTGAGGCAGGCTGAGGCTGTGACTGTGACTGCCGTTGCCACTGCGACTGTCATCGCGAATGCGACTACGACTGCGAGAACAGCAGAATTCTACAACTGGATTCTCATCTGAATCTTAAGGGGAATGCTTCCAGATATGCTCCTACACATCGCTGTTAGGTTGCTTTGCCGGGATAATTCCTTTCTTCGTCCTCTTCTTATTATCCTCTTCTTCTTCTTTCTTATTATTCTTCTACTGTATTCTTCTTCTTCTTTTATATTTCTCTCTGTCCCCACGCTCGCCTGAATTGTTTTATCTCTGGGGTTGATTATCCATGGAAATTGAGGCACATGAGCTACCCTACACGAGCACTTACAAAAAACAATTGTCATGAGAGATAAGCCATTGTTGAGGATATTTCTATGAAAACTAAACGCCAAGGATGTCTCAAAACGTGCTCGGCTTGGTCTCCTCTTGATCATCTCTTACTTCGAGATTATGCTGAGGTCTGCTGGGCTATTTTCATTATCTCTCCCTGAACCCCGAACTTTATTATCCCCTAGTGTTTATTCTCACGGGCATGAGGTTAATCGTACCCTCCTCCGACTCATCCTCCTCCTCTCGGGAGCGGCCAAGAAGGGGGGTGTCCAAGAGGGGGGGGGTGCAAATCATGACCGGCGGCATGTGCGCGGCCCAGCGGGGGGCCTGGGACGTAATGGAATAAGAAGAGGGCGCCATGGAATCTGGGGGAAAATCATGGCCCGCGCCATGATATCCACCCCCCCCCAGTCATCACCCCCCTCTTTTCCGCCCCCGATCCTCCCCCGATCCTGGCGCAGACGACGTGCCGGTGACGACGCGCAGCAGGCCGAGCGGCGCAGGCCGCCCGCGCCGCTGCCGGCGCACCAGCAGCGCCGCGGCGGCCACGCCGAGGCCCGCGCCCAGCGCCAGGCACGCCGCGAAGACGGCCCCGCCGGCGGCCCCGGCGGCCGGCCGCGGGCCCTCCTCGGAAGGGCGCCGATGCCCAGATCACAGGCGACGTACGGCAATGCGAAGAAGAGAGGGAAGTGCGCGCAGGAGGCCCCCAAGAGGCCCCCACGAAGCTCCCAAGAGGCCCCAAAACTACCCCCCAGAGGCCCCGAAGAGAGCTCCGAGGAGGACCCAAGAAGCATCCCTGAGAGCTCCGACCCACAAGCCAGGCGCGGTGGCGGGATGGGCCGAAGGCCAGTAGATCCGCCGCCTCCTGTGGTCTTGCCACAGGGGTGCACGGCGTGCTGGATGATTCAGGTTTTGGTTTTGGTTCTTTTTCTAAAAGAATCGAAGACGCCTACGGCGAATCACCGCCGCCCCCTGCCTTTTTGGAAACGCCGATGTGGCCGAAAGTTGGACTAGAGCTTGGCCAAGCTATCGGACCATGAGTTCCCCGAGTCGGTTTGGAAAGCTTTCGGGGAACACATGGGAGAGAATGATTATGAACAGGAAGAGGAAGAGGAAGAAATAGAGTAGGAGGATGAGGGTTGTTAGGAGTCTCTTGGGGCACCCTTGGGGTCTGTTGGGGGCTTCTTGGGGGCCTCTTCGAGGCCTCTTGGAGGCATCTTGGGGGCCTCCTTGGGCCTCTTGGGGGCCTTTGGGGGCTTCCTGGGGGTCTCTTTGGCCGTCTTAGGGCGTTCCTGGTCCGTCTGACGCCGTCTGGAGCCGTCTTGGGGGCCTCTCTGGGCCGTCTTGGGGCCCTCTTGGGGCGCTTCAGGGCCGTCTTGGAGGCCATGTTGGGCGTCTTGGAGGCCTCTTGGGCCGTCTTGGGGCGCTCTTGGGGCCGTCTTGGGGGGCCCTTGGGCCGTCATAGGGCCTTCTTGGAGGCCTCTTGGGCGATCTTGGGGGCCTCTTGGGCCGTCGGAAGGCCGAAAAGATGAAAACGCAAAAAACCTTCAAAAACCTAAGGAAAACCAATAATTTTGGCCTCTTCGGGCTCTCCTGGAGAACGTCTTGGAGGCCTCGTGGGCCATCTTGGAGGCATCTTGGGGCCATCTTGGCCGTCTTGGAGGGCATCTTGGGCCGTCTTGGAGGCATCTTGGAGCCATCTTACCCGTCTTGGAGGCCATCGTGGCCGTCTTGGAGGCATCTTGGAGGCCATCTTGGGCCATCTTGGCCGTCTTGGAGGCCATCTTGGGCCAAGTTGGGGCAACAAAGGCATTGACAGACGGATTTTCGGAAATTTACGGGTGGCCGGCGGGACGGGCCGAAGCCCACTGGGGAGTTCTTTTAGAAAAAGAACCAAAACCAAAACTGAATCATCCAGCACGCCGTGCACCCCTGCAAGCAGGGGGCGGCGGACTCCCCAGTGGGCTTCGGCCCGTCCCGCCGGCCACCCGCAAGTTTCCGAAAATCCGTCTGTCAATGCCTTTGTTGCCCCAACTTGGCCCAAGATGGCCTCCAAGACGGCCAAGATGGCCCAAGATGGCCTCCAAGATGCCTCCCAGACGGCCAAGATGGCCTCCAAGACGGGTAAGATGGCTCCAAGATGCCTCCAAGACGGCCCAAGATGCCCTCCAAGACGGCCAAGATGACCCCAAGATGCCTCCAAGATGGCCCAAGAGGCCTCCAAGACGTTCTCCAGGAGAGCCCGAAGAGGCCAAAATCATTGGTTTTCCTTGGGTTTTTGAAGGTTTTTTGCGTTTTCTTCTTTTCGGCCTTCCGACGGCCCAAAAGGCCCCCAAGATCGCCCAAGAGGCCTCCAAGAAGGCCCTATGACGACCCAAGGGCCCCCCAAGACGGCCCCAAGAGCGCCCCAAGACGGCCCAAGAGGCCTCCAAGACGCCCAACATGGCCTCCAAGACGGCCCTGAAGCGCCCCAAGAGGGCCCCAAGACGGCCCAGAGAGGCCCCCAAGACGGCTCCAGACGGCGTCAGACGGACCAGGAACGCCCTAAGACGGCCAAAGAGACCCCCAGGAAGCCCCCAAAGGCCCCCAAGAGGCCCAAGGAGGCCCCCAAGATGCCTCCAAGAGGCCTCGAAGAGGCCCCCAAGAAGCCCCCAACAGACCCCAAGGGTGCCCCAAGAGACTCCTAACAACCCTCATCCTCCTACTCTATTTCTTCCTCTTCCTCTTCCTGTTCATAATCATTCTCTCCCATGTGTTCCCCGAAAGCTTTCCAAACCGACTCGGGGAACTCATGGTCCGATAGCTTGGCCAAGCTCTAGTCCAACTTTCGGCCACATCGGCGTTTCCAAAAAGGCAGGGGGCGGCGGTGATTCGCCGTAGGCGTCTTCGATCCGCCGCCCCCTGCTGGCTTTCCACAGAGGCGCCCAGCGCGCTAAATTTACAATGGTGTATGGTTCTTGTTAAGACTACCCCTGGGGCTTCGGCGATGCCGCTGGCCGCCCGTCTCGTCAGCTTTTTCGGTCAAGATGGCCCCAAGATGGCCTCCAAGACGGTCCCAAGACGCCTCCAAGGCGCCCACGATGGCCTCAAGAAGTCCCAAGATGTCTCCAAGACGGCCCAAGATGCACCGAAGACGGCCTAAGATGATAGCCCAAGACGGTCCAAGAGGCCCCCAAGCCCAACAAGCCTCCAAGAGGTACTCCACGAAGGCCCCAAGATGCCAGAAGCAGTGATTTGCCTTCGGCTTGCGAAGAATTTGGACGTTTACTTCCTTTCGGCCGTCCGACGGCCCGAGACGGCCACAGATCGCGCGAGAGGCCTCCAAGATGGCCCCCGGACGGCCCAAGAGAATCCCAAGACAGCCCCAAAAGGGTCCCAAGACGGCCCAAGAGGCCTCCAACATGCCCAAAATGGCCTCCGAGACGGCTCTTCAGCGCCCCAAGAGGGCCCCAAGACGGCCCAGGGAGGCGTCCAAGATGGCTTCCGACGGCGTCAGACAGACCAGGGACGCGCAAGAAGACCAAAAGGGCCCCCAAGAAGACCCCAAAGGCCCCCCAAAGGCCCAAGGAGACCCCCAAGAGGCCTCCAAGAGGTCCCGAGGAAGCTCTCAGAAGGCCCCAGGAATGGCGCACGAGGCTCCCAAGAGATCCTCCTCCTCCTCCTCCTCCTCCTCCTCCTCCTCCTCCTCCTTCTCCTCCTCCTCCTCCTCTTCCTTTTCCCTCCCTCTCCTCATCCTCCTCTTCCTCGCCCACGTATTCCCCGAAAGGTTTCGACAGCGGCTCGGGGAGCACCTGGTCTGAAAGTTTGTTCAAGCTCTGGACCCAAACGCTTGGCCACAGAGGCGCGTTTCGAAAAGGTAGGGGGCGGCGGTGATTCGCCGTAGGCGTCTTCGATACCCTCCAGCTTGACTGGCCTCTGCCCAAGACCCTGTAACGTTCAGCGCTTGGAAGTACATATCCGCACATTGTCCACCCAATCGGCGCGCATCGGCCCGCACGCGAAGCAAGGCATTTTCGGCGATCTGTCCACGAGGAATGCTTATGAGCACGTGATTGCCCTCCTTCATCAAGTCGAACCGCTCACCATGAACGTTTTGCAAATGAGGATCGCCAACGGCAGAAGCCCCAGAAGCTGCCGGGCTGGGGGCGCTGGTCGGGCTGGGTGTCGCAGCGGTCGGGCTGGGTGTCGCAGCAGTAGGTTGCGTGTACGTCGTCGGAGGGGAGACCGGACAAATCGTTGGCGTCCCAGCGCCGTCGAGCGCATTGCAAGCAGTAAGCCCTGACCGGGACCCAACATCAGCCACGGTCGCAATTACTGATCCACCCGCGTCCAATGATTTCACAGTGAAGCCGCTCGTGGAAGAATAGCCGCCCGACCAGAATTCGATATGCACTTCGTCGGAGGTTATGTCATGATCGCATAAGATACTGTGAGTAGTGAATGACCAGCACCCAGAATTATCAGCCTTGCCTGATGAGTCCCACGGGCTCTGATGACCTCCGTTGCAAGGGCCGCCCTGAGTGAGGGTGCAGCCGCCGTAGGTCGGGAAAGATTCCATGAAAGGGATCGTCCGCGCGCCATTCTTAACAAAGTAAATGTCATCAATCTGGTGCGTAGACTTGTAAGTGATTTCGTACCCATAGACTGGGGAACGTGCTGCTCCAGACTCGTCGGTCGTGTCGTCAATCACTTTGAGCTGAGCAGCTCCCACGCAGCCAACTAAAAACAAGAGTACCGCGATGCTGGAGGACTTCATCCCGCGTGAGTTTCACGGCGCGCAGAAAAATTATGCTAACGGAGTTCCCCACATAAAGAGATTAACGGTTTCGTGGGACCCATTTTCTTGATGCCCTCCTCGCTTTGGCGGGGCCCCGCTGGAAGGGGGGAGGGGCACGAAACCATGTAAATAGTATGGTTTGCGGATACCCTCCTCGCTCAGGCGGGGCCTCCCTGGAGGTGTGGGAGGGGCACGAAACCATGTAAATAGTATGGTATTCCGATACCCTCCTCGCTCAGGCGGGGCCTCCCTGGAGGGGTGGGAGGGGCACGAAACCATGTAAATAGTATGCTATTCCGATACCCTCCTCGCTCAGGCGGGGCCTCCCTGGAGGGGTGGGAGGGGCACGAAACCATGTAAATAGTATGGTTTTCCGATACCCTCTTCGCTCAGGCGGGGCCCCCCTGGAGAGGTGGGAGGGGCACGAAACCATGTAAATATTATGGTTTTCCGATACCCTCCTCGCTCAGGCGGGCCCCCCCTGGAGAGGTGGGAGGGCACGAAACCATGTAAATAGTATGGTTTTCCGATACCCTCCTCGCTCAGGCGGGGCTTCCCTGGAGGGGTGGGAGGGGCACGAAACCATGTAAATAGTATGGTTTTCCGA